TCTTCTTCGTGTTGCTTCTTGAGCTTGGCTAGCTGTCGATACACCTGAAAGGAAGAAGCGGGGCGATGTTTCGCTTCTACAAAAAAATAAAGATAAATACCTTCGAAAACAACCGAAATACCTTTTAACTGCAAACTCTAAACCCTAAACCCTAAGCCCTAAACCCTAAACCCCAGCTGGCAGCAGCGGGGAGGCCCGGGCCCCCGCAACCGCCGCTGCTGCCTCCCGCGCTTAATTTCCGCGCATTTTAGCCGAAAAAAGATTTAATTTAATTAGTTTTTAGCATTAATTATATTTAAACAACCTTTTAAATGTTATTATCTCTCAATTGCGGCTCTTTAGGGTTTTCCCGTGAGCTGCAGGGGCCCCCGCTTCTCGGGTGTATCGACAGCTCTGAGGTGTATGCGCAGCTGCTGCGTCGCGGCAGAGAACAAAATGAACCAAATTTTCGTTCAAAAGTTTATTTTTGAGAATTAATTTGTCTTTTTTTAATGTTTTAAATGCCCTTTAGCGGCTCTAAACGCATTTAACTCCCCTGTTGCCGCTCCAATCCGCCACAGGGAGAGAGACGACCACTGGAGTGTATGTACGTACAGCTGGGTGGTGCTGCTTTGGATTTGCATTTCCTGGCCTAAATCTCGCCAATTTAGTTCATTTTTTCAATTTTTCAATCAATAAACTCAATTCGATTCAATTTTTGAACTTTAAAACGAAATAAACCGACTAAATTCGACTTAATTCAATGTACACCCCCGCCCGCAAAACGCCTTTGCCATTTTCCCGCTTTTCCGCCTGTCTCTCCCCTCCTGAGTGCTCGAGAGCCCCCGCGGGAACTCCGTTGGATTCTTAAGGAGAAAAGGAGAAAAAAAAAGAAAAAAAAGAAACAAAAAAGAACAAAAAAGAGACAAAAGAAACAAAAGAAACAAAAAGGGATAATTAGAGGAAGAAAGGACTTAAAACTGGGATCAGAGAGCCCTTAGAAGCTGAACAATAAACGCGCGCAGCAAAACAAAACTAGGGTTTAGGGTTTAGGGTTTAGGGTTTGGCTGCATGCGCCTGAGGGTCTCCCCCGTTCTCGCTCCATTTTCAACTTCTTTACTCTCTTTAAAACGAGTCCCAAAACAGAAACAGCTAGCTAGCTGCAGCTAGCCACCTGCGAGTAGCTAGCTAGCTAGCTAGAGACGCTGGCTAGCTGCCAGCCATATGCTAGTCAGGTGGCCAGCTAGCTAGCTAGCTAGCTAGCTAGCCAGCCAGCCAGCCAGCCTGGTAGCTAGCTAGCTAGCTAAAGGGGCGGGCTAGCTGCAGCTACGTAGCTAGCTAGCTAGAGCAGCTAGCTAGCTAGCTGCAGCTAGTTTGCTGCAGCCAGCCACACCCCAGCGTGGCCAGCCACAAATAACCCTAGCTAGCCACAGCTAGCCGCAGCTAGCCGCAGCTAGCTAGTCACAGGAAGCCACGGCTAGCCAGCTAGCCGACCGCAGCTAGCCACAGCTAGCTAGCCGCGTCTAGCTAGCTGTAGCTGCAATAGCTGGCTGCAGCTGGCTGCAGCGGCTGCAGCTGGCTGTAGCTGCTGCAGCTAGCTGCAGCTAGCTATAGCTAGCTAGTGGCTAGCTGTAGCTGCAGTAGCTAGCTACAGCTAGCTGCAGCTAGCAATAGCTAGCTGATAGCTAGCTGTAGCTGCAGTAGCTAGCTACAGCTAGCTGCAGCTAGCTACAGAGGCAAAACAATAAGAAAAATGAAAAGAAGAGGAAGGTGCCCGAGCAGAAAGACAGTTACCAGGTGGCAGGCCTAAACCCTAAACCCTAAACCCTAAACCCTAAACCCTCAAAACAGGGCCCGGAGTCTCTGAGGAGACCCCTAGCCATGAATAACTTGGAGACAAATGCTGCTGAATAAATCATTTCTATTTGTCTCCTTTTCTTTAAAAAAGACCAAAAGAAAAGAACAAAGTTAGGGTTTAGGGTTTAGGGTTTAGGGTTTAGGCATCGTCGTCGTCTTGGAACTCCTCCCTCATAATCTGTACATACACCCCTCAAAACACTCTTTTAGGGTTTAGGGTTTGGCTTTTCATCTCCCTCTTAATGGTCCTCGCAGCAACAGCCAAAAGAGCAGCAGAAGCAGCAGCAGCAGCAGCAGCAGCAGCAGCAGCAGCAGCAGTCTGCAAGTTTCAGCAGCGGCAATAGCACCAAAAAGCCACGCAGTAGCCGCCGCCGCAGCAGCAACAACCGCAGCAGCAGCAGCACGAGCAGCAGCAGCAGCAGCAGCAACCGCAGCAGCAGCAGCAGCAGCAGCAGCAGCAAAATACCTCTTTAAGCTCCAGTCGAATTTCATAAACGGCGTCGCCTTTGAGCATGTCTTTAACAAAGTAACAAGCCACGCGCATGCGCAGCTGAGACGCCCAAACCCTAAACCCTAAACCCTAAACCCTAAACCCCGAACCCTAAGCCCTAAACCCTAAACCCTAAACCTCAAACCCTAACCAACAAGCACCCCCCCTCCCCGG